CTCTCTCCCTCTCTCCCTCTCTCCCTCTCTCCCCTCTCCCCTCTTCTCTCCTCTCTCCTCTCTCTCCTCCCTCTCCCCTTCCTCTCTGTTTTACCCATGCCTGTTTCTCCACTCCAAGCTTTGCCTCATCCCAGGAGCACCCGTGAGACATGTCCAGGTCACAGTGGATACCAGGGAGAGAGCAGTGCTGCTGCTTGGTGGTCCAGCACAATGAACAAAGGAAGCTCCACGCTGCTGCAGGGCTTCTTCCCATCTGTTGGCCTCACAGTGCTTGATGATGGAATTTATCTCAGGGGCTGTGTCTCTTTTAAAGGCCAAAAATTGAACTTGGGGTTGAATTTTGGGATGAATCAGGAGCAGTTCTGGCAGTGGGCCATTGGGTTTACAGGTGGTTGTGTGTGTATATAAATATTTTAAAATATTTTAAAATATTATTTATTCTCTAAATAAAGGGAATAAATAGTATTTATTATTTATAATAAATAATATAAGTGATAATAGTGAAGGTGAGGTGTGAGAGGATGATGGGATGGGATTTAAGTGATCTCATTCTTCCAGAATTTTTTTTCTGCCCTTAACAAAATTTACCTTTTTTATAATATACATCAATACTTTGACCTTGTTGGGGAATCGTGCTTAATTCATGATATTCCTAACATTTGGCCTTTTGTTTCCTTGTGTCTCCAAGTGAAAAGAGTTGATTTTGTCTTGGCCACATACTTAATGTTCACTCCCTGCATCTGGAATTGTTAGAGTGATTATTATTCCTTCACTTGCATGTAAAAGGTTTTCTTTTGTTTGTTTGTTTGTTTTGTAATATCCTTTAGAAACTTGCAGTCTGAAGAGAAACATTCCTGCAAAAACTATTTGGAAGAAAAGAGTGCAGGCAATGTGTCCAGATTACTGAAATAAAATGGAACTTTTGAAGGATTGGACTTCAAAAGCTTCATTTTATTTCAAAAGTTGCATTTCAGAGGTTTTTTTTTTTCATAGGACTAAGCTTTTTCCAAGACCCTGCTGGGCCACTTAACCTTATTTTTGACCAATTTTATATGAATTTAATGCAAACTGCCCTGTCCATTTTTCAGACTCCCTTGAAAAAACAGACTTCTCTGCTTGGGGAACCCCCAAAAGAAATTCGACTGAGCACCAACCCCTACTTGAATTTGGCAAGTGTTTTGCCTGGCATCTGTCTGCCAGGTAAGCAAACATTTCATGGATTTCATTGCAAATTTCCACAGCCAGAGCGTGGCAAATATTTATCCTGTTTGCCTGGTAAATCCAGTGACCACAGCATTTATCCTCATGGAAATCTTGTAGCATTTATGCTAAAATTGCAGATTTATGCTGATGGTTAAACAGGGGTAAACTTTCAGAGGCTCACAAACTCCTTGAAGCCTTTCAGTTATTAAGCACTGATTAATTTACAGCACAGCCTAATGTGAAGAGGCAAATTTCAATTTTAATCCTGGGATAGAACCCAATTTATGTGTTTTTTACCAGCCAGGTGTTTATTCAAACTCTGTTCTCTGTGTTCCCAGCAGCAATTGCCAGCAAAGCCTCCAGTCCTCCACAGCAGACCAGCCTTCCAAACAATGTCATGGATGCTGCTGTGTCTCAGGGAACTGCATCACAACATGCAATGGAAAATTATTTCAGTTATTCCCAGCAGCCTGGGGAATACCCACAGGTAGGAATTGCACAGCCTGGTGTCCCCTGGAATTCTCCCAGAGCTGCTCCTTGTTTTCTCTGGGTGTTCTTCCTGAGCCTCTCCAGTGACACTTTTATCTCTTTCAGTGTTCAGATTTAGCACCAAGAGCATTCCCTGCTCAAATCACAACCCTTGAAACAATTGCTTCTTGAGAGCCTGAACTCTGGGCACTCGCTAAAAAATGACTTCTCACCACCTCTGCCTTCAAAACCAGGGTTTTTTCTCTTTGCCTTCCCCAGAAGTTTTTAAGTCTTGAACTTTGGCTGGATGCCAGAGAAGAGAGCTGTGCCTCCCAGCTCCTGCAGAGCTTGGGGGATGTTTGCCAGCTGCTGTCAGTGCACAGGATGTGCTCCCCATCTGCCCCATGTGGTGATCAGAGCGTGGCCATGAGGTGCAGGCTCTGCAGAGTGCTGCAGTTCCACAGGACACTGGGAAAGAACATTCCCATATTTCCATTAACCTTTTAGAGTCTGTATAAAACTGGAGCTGTCCAGACCAAATCTGAGAGCTGCCTCCTCCCCAGGCTGTCAGAGGGGAGACAGAGACTCTCCTGGGCTGCTGGCAGGGGGATCTGTGAGCCCCAAACTCCTGGGAGTCAGGTGGCTCCCAGGATGGAGAGGGTTTGGATTGGATTGGGAGGCTCCCAGCCTGGCCAGAGGGGTGAGGGGGAACAGGGTCACTGCACACAGCAGGGAGCTTTGCCAGACATTTCTTGGATCAGACCTGGTGCCTAAAGGGGCTCCAGGAGAGCTCCAGGGAGTCAAGGCCTGCAGGGACAGGACACAGGGAATGGTTCCCACTGCCAGAGGGCAGGGCTGGATGAGATATTGGGAAGGAATTGTTCACTGGCAGGGTAGAGGTGCCCAGAGGAGCTGTGGCTATCCCATCCTGGAAGTGTTCCCAGAACTGGAATTGTCCCTGCCTCACTGCCAGGCCAGAGGTGCCTCCTGTACGTTTTAAGCACTTACCATGATTTAAAATGTTTGATTTGAGCTTCACCAGTGGTGCTGAAGGTGTTTTGATGCTTCCTGGAGAGCTTTGGGTTGTAAGAATTGTAGGCAGACATGGGAGAGGATTTCTGCTCCTCTGTAGGAGGCTGTCCAGCAGTGGTACCAGCATTATGCTCAGGCACATCACTCTACCCAGGCCAGAGTGGATGGCTTGGGAAATGAAGCCTCTGAGGTGAGAAATCATTTCGTTTTCTTGCTGTCTCCACTGGCTGTTGCTGCCATCAGCTTTTGGACACCTGCTTTGTGTGTTGGCACAGGAATGAGGGGCTGGAGAGCGTGGGGTGAAGGCACTGCATGGGCACTGCTGCACCCCCTGGAGTCACACCCAAAATATCCCTCTCTAAAACCCCACCAGCCAAAATCACCTGAAATGCTCAGGAGTGCATTAAAATATTCCCACCAGGAAGCAGCACACCACTAATGGCATTTCCCAGTGCTGAATTTCCCAGCATTGAAAGGCTGTTTCTGGCCCAAGCTGAGGTTTTTGTGAGCAAGGAGAAGGATACATTTTAAAGGAATGACACAAATTAAACCATCATCCAAATCCCACATTGTGCTCCAGGAATTGCTGCACACCCGAGCTGCTGGGAGTTGCACCTCTTGTTACTCAGGTATTTCCATACCTGCTGAGAGCTCATCACCATAGCAAATAAAAAAAAAAAGAAAAGAGTTATTAAATTTTTTATCCTTCTACTTCATGGATCCCGTTCTGGATTCAGGAATCTACAGGTGGATCTTGCCCAGACTACAGCACCTGCCTGCAGGTGGTGCCTCCCCTTTTGAGTGGAGCCCAGGGATCCCAGCAGGGCTTGCAGCCTCCTCCAGCAAATCCCTTAAAGCAGGTGAGAGGAGAGGAGCAGCTGCAGATGCTTCTTCCCTGTCTGCTGCTGCCCCCAGTGGAGCTTTCCCTCTGCATCCCTGCTCCACACAATTCCTAGGAATGGGAGGAGAGGTTGGACCAGCTCCAGAGCCCTCCAGGCCCTGGGGATCAGCTCCTCTCAATGCCCCAACACCCACGGGCAGGGCAAGGCTGGGTTTGGGAGCTTCTTGGAGAGGTGTGAGTGTGCAGAAATGCCTGGAAGGAGGCAAATAAAGTAGGAAGAGAGGAGGAGGAGGAGGTTCACACTGGGTTTAAATGGGTATTTGTGTGACTTGCAGATGGTTTGCACTGGGATAGAATCTCTGAAGTGGAGAGAGCAGCTCAAAATTTCCTGGAAAGCAAATTAAAAAAAACACAGGGTAAATCTAAAGATTTTTCCCTGCCTAATTTGTAAAATACACAATTATTTTTTGTGTGTTTCTAAAACAATTTGTGGAGCATCTGCAGGTTTACCTGGTCTTGGGAACCATCCAGGTTACCAACTCCAGGGGATAAAATGGTTTTTATTTGGAATTACAGCAGGTGCCAGCTGCAGCCTTCTTCAGCCAGACCCACTGAGCAAAGCTTCCTTTGCTGGGGCTGCAGTGGGCACCAAATTCTCACCAGTAAATGGAGTGGGAATGCTTTGGGAAGAGTGAGGGCTGGTTTATGGAGTCTGGTTTGGATTTAGGACTCCTGAGGAGTTCCCTGTCACTGTGCTGTAGGTAAATCCCATGGCTCCTGTTTTTATGGATGGGAGAGCTGAGGGGCCTGGCCCTTGCATCACAGCATTAATTCCTGGGGGTTCAGTTCTGGCATGAGACTGGGCATGAGATCCCAATTTTTTTTGGAGATTTTGAAGGCAGTGCATTCCTTTTAACTCCAGCAATTCCTGACTTGTGGGTAGAGCTGGCTGTGAGCTGGTTTGGGGTGAAAATGGCCAAAGGCTGGCCATGGGTTTGGGACATGAAAAAATGAAATTTTCAGATTCCCAACAGCTCTGCCATGGCTGGAAACAATGGAATGGCAGCAGAAGGAGAGAGTGTGGGGTTTGAGCCAAGCAGCACCTCTCAGTTTATCTCCAGAGAGGTTCCTGGGGTGGTGCAGAACAGCTCCCTGGGATGTTGGTGTTAATGCCAGGAGCCATAAAAGGCAGGAGGAGCACGGTCAGTCTCTTGGCACAGGCACAGCAGTGCAGTTTGCCTCCCAAGTGCTGGAATTGCAGATAAATCTCAGTGAAGAGGCTGCTCCAGGAGGCTCTGACAGTTCAGGGACCCTGCAGCTCGTTCAGATCCTGCTTTTTGGGGCTTTTCTTAATGCTGCTGCTGTTGCAGAGGCTCAGGAGGAGCAGGGTTGGGGGGTTTGTGTGAAGCATCAGTGAGCCAGGAGCTGGTGGAGGACATGGGACATGGGTGGACATTCCTTGGCTTTCAGAACTGCAGGAGAGAGGACAGGGGGAAAACTGAAGTCTCTCCTGCATCAGTTTTGTGTTTGTGATGAAGGTGCCCCCAGGATGAAATTGGCCTGAGCAGTTAGAGCTGTGGCTGTGAACAGCAGGGTGCTTGGAGAGCTGCTGGGAAAGGTTTTTCCAAAGAGAAGGTGAACCCAGGGAGCCCTTGGGCAGCCTTGGAGCAGCTGTGCCCTCACAGAAACCCCGCTCTGGGCCCCTCAGGGCTGTGTCAGCGAGGAGCTGAAATTTCCATTAAAGATCCATTGCTGCTCCATCCATCCCTCACTCCTGTGTGAAGGCAGGGCCTGAGATCCTGCACAGCCCCGCTCTGGCACAGCTGGAAAATTCATCTTTCAGCCCCTGGCTTGGCGTGGGAGCTGGGCCAGGACTGTCCAACCCCTTCAGCTCCCCAGGAGGAGTGAAAGGTGCCTCATCCTAAAGGCTGGGGATGGCTGGATCAGCTGCAGGACAGCACCAAGGCCGTTGTCCCACTGGATTTTATCCAGGTGCTGTGGAATGAGGCCACTTGGCACCACAGCTGTGCTGGGGCACTGATCCCTTTATCACTGGGGTGTTTTTAGGGAAAGGGCCAAACCCTGAACTTCCAAGCCGATGGAGCCGGGTCTTTGGTGTGGCTTCCCTGGGAATGCCCAGCCTGGAGCGCTGTTATTTGGGAGTGGTGGTGGCTGGGGTGTCACCTGTCCTGTTTTGCCTGCAGGTGGCCCCGAAGCGCAGCTCCTCGTACCTCATGTCCTCCCCCGAGCCCGGCCCCGTGGAATTCCCGGCTCCCGGCGGAGCCGCGCGCTACTCGGAATCCTCCCTGAAGAAGAAGCGCGTGTATTGATCCATCATCATCCCCACGGCTTGATCGATTCCCAGCCCGGCCCGGGGTAGGGAAGGCAGGTGGGAATCCCTCTGTATTTATTGCTGCCTTAACTTCAGACAATGAGTTCTTTCTGTGTGGGGTGAGCATCCCAAGAGGAGCCAGCTCTGTCCCGGCACATCCAAGGACGCTGACGGGCGTGGCAGAGGTGGTGGCTGCTTTCACTTGGAGAGGAGGGGACAGTGTTGGCTTTGTCACCTGTGGGCTGAGGGACAACAGCACAGGGACTTGGGGAGCTGGGACAGCTCCAGCTGAAAGCAATAAAAACTCAGAGGAAAGCAAGCTGATCCTTTCTCCAGTCCTCAGCCTGAGGAAGTTAAAAGAGGAAGTCTTGATAGTAATTATTTTGTATTTTTTTAAGTCAGAATGTGGGGTTGTTTTGTTTTTTTTTTCCCAACTTTCCTTTTTTCAGGATTAAGAGCTCTGCATTTACAGCCTTTCAATTTTTAATATTTCTTCTTAATCCTGGAATGGAGCGATACCAAATGGATTCCCAGAGCCTCGGTGACGTTCTCAATAAATGCCTGTTCAAAGGAAGATGCTATCCTGTGCTGCCTTGGAATGTTCCCTGGGATTTGGAGAGTTGATCATTGGACAATGGAATAACTCTGTTTTTAGGCTGAGAATCCACAGTTTTTCTATGGAGAAAGTAATTCCCAGTGTGAGGCAGCATCCTCCTTCCACAGGTGTGGGACAGCTCTTCCTGGGCCACCCCACATTTGTTTCCCACTTTTGAGTGTATTTTCCTTCATTTTTTTTTTAAAGACTTTTTGTATTTTTAGCTTATTATCAGCTTTGGCTCGAGTTGTTCTCTTCTGCCATCAGCCCTTGGAGCTGGAGATCAGCAATCCTTCCTTTTGCCACAGGTAAATGAGGAGCCAGCCCTCATTCCAAGGCTTTTCCCCCTTGGAATCCTGCTGCAAATCCATTTGGATTGAGTTCACCAAGGCCAGGAGCCACCTCCTTCTCCCTTTTCTTTGCTAGAGAACACTGAAGCCATTTTTCAATACTGATTGTTTTTTTTTAAATTAAAAGTCTTAAACTTTGCCTTTCAAGCTTTGGGATGTGACCAGGATCCACATTTTCAAAGCTTAAAAAAAATCCCAATCAAAATCCCTCTTCCCTCAGCTGCTGGAACTGCTCCACAAACAGGAGCCAGGAGCTTTTCTGGGATTCTGCCTGTATGTATTGTTAAATTCACTTGTAATATTTTGTTTCAGCTGTTTGTATATGCAACTTTCTCAACTTGTTACACTTTTCAATGAAAATAAATTGTTGGTACTTATTTCAAGTGGATTTTTGTGGGAGGAAAACAGCCCAGGACTCCTTTAATCAGGTAAGGTAGGAAAATGTTTTGGAAGAAGATCATTCCTATGGAAATTCCATTTTAAAAACTGTTTATGATTAAAAAGGGAGGCACATGGAGAAAAAAAAAAAAAATCTTTATTAGACTTGTTTGTATAAAGAGTAACAAAGTGCTTACAGATTAAATTCAGCTTCCTAAGTGACATACAGAAACAATAACACTGTAAAAATAAATCTGACCTCCTTGGAGCTCATAATTACAATTTTTTATATATATTTATATATATATATATATAGACCTCTTTCTATTATTGCCAAAACTTGAGGATCTCTTCAGAGCGTTTTCCAACTCCAGATGTGGAAGGAAAAATGGTGGCAGCAGAAGGTTCCAGTTAAACCATTCAAGGGCTGAGTGAAAATGTTTAAAAACTTTGTTGGAGGGGTTCCCCTTGCCTAGGACACCCCTGGGTGCTCAGGCCTTTTTTTTTTCCTTTTGGATAATCTGGGATTATCTGGGATTCTGGCCATGGACTGGGTTCTTCCCCATCTCCATCAATCCCTTCCCTGCACATCCCTCAGCACCAGGGATGCACATTCACCCCTTCCAGGGCTGCACCCAGTCTGGGAGCTCCAGGGGGAAGAATATGGGGCTGGAGTTAGGAAAAGCCAATTATTTATCCCAAAATTGGGGTTCTCACTGAAATGCACAACTGTGCCCACCCCTCCTCGCTTCTGGGGGTGGTGTTTTCAAACATTTGTTTCTAAATACCTGTAAGAGCTCACGACTAGGGCCTGGTGGGTTAAAAAGAGCTGAAAATTTTTGTCTCCCCTATATTTTTATGCCAGAGTTGTTTTGTTTGGTACTAGGATTTAAGTTCATGTGAAGGATATTTTGTCAGCTGACTTTAGAATTATTAATTGAGCCCTGTTACATCCACTGGCTGAGGTCAGAGCTGAGAAACGCTCACATTTCCCAGCTCATATCATCCATCAGGGCAATTCCAATTGTGGCACAGCCAGAATCAGAGCAGGATAAAACTGCCCTGCAACAACAGCAGCAAAGGGAGCTGGAGCTCATTTTACCCAAACCTCTTAAATTCTTTTAATCCAACTCTTCAATCTGTTGGCAAAAGAATCCTTTAGAACCACATCCAGCCCAGCCAAAGTACAAATTACAGGAATAAAAAAAAAAATTATAAAAAAGGAATAGCCTTGGGCACAGATTGCTGGGCACTTAAAGTCCTGACAGAATAATAAAAAAAAATTAATTACATTTTACTCATAATTGTTTCAAATCCTTGGATCAGGTTGTGGAAGGTGGTGCGTTCATCGTGTTTGTAAATCCAGCACTTCCTCATCAGCTGATCCACCTGGCAGGAGAAACAGGGATATTGTTAAAGGAGTGAAACATTTCTTTGGGCTCAAGTAAAGAGAGGGGAGCAGAGTCTCCTTGAAGGAACAGAAACACCTCAGGTGTTGGGCAGGGGCAGCAGGGACCTGAGCAGGGGGGTTTGGGCAGTTCAGGTTTAAACCAACACAGCAGCTCCATCTGGGGAGCTGCACCCCAGGAATTGCTGACATCAGAGGATTCCCAAGGAATTTTCATGGATCTGGGTACTACAGCAAGTCCTTGATCCTGCTGAAGGGACATCACAGACTTGAGAATGTTAATATCAAAAAACATCTTAAAACAACACTTGAAAACATTGGAAATGCCTTTTTCTGAAGGTTTTCCTACCTGAGTGGTCAGGCCTGTGGAACCTGGGATGTGTGACCCCTCTAGGGCTGAATCAGTGTCTGACAGGGATTGATGGACCCATCCATCCATCATCCATCCATCCATCCATCATCCATCATCCATCCATCATCCATCCATCATCCATCCATCCATCCATCATCCATCCATCCATCCATCCATCCATCATCCATCCATCCATCCATCATCCATCATCCATCCATCATCCATCTATCCATCCATCATCCATCCATCCATCCATCCATCCATCATCCATCATCCATCCATCATCCATCCGTCCATCATCCATCCATCATCCATCCATCCATCCATCATCCATCCATCATCCATTCATCCATCATCCATCCATCATCCATCCATCCATCATCCATCCATCATCCATCCATCATCCATCCATCATCCATCCATCATCCATCCATCCATCATCCATCCATCATCCATCATCATCCATCATCCATCCATCCATCCATCATCCATCCATCATCCATCCATCATCCATCCATCATCCATCCATCCATCATCATCCATCATCCATCCATCATCCATCCATCCATCATCCATCCATCATCCATCCATCATCCATCCATCATCCATCCATCATCCATCCATCCATCCCTCACCTCCTCAGGGCAGGTGGGTGGCCGTGGCAGCCGTTTGTCGTCCTGCAGGACCCTCACAAGCCGTGCCACCGTCATCTGTCCCTGTGTGGGGCCGATCATCTTCAGGAATTCCTGTGGGGACAGCGGGATCAGCTAGGAATCCCTCACCCCACTGCAGGGACACCCACCAGGGTGTTCCCCATGGACAGAGTGGAATGAGATGAGCGTTAAGTTCCCTCCCACCCCAAACGAGCCCACGATTCTCTGCTTCCTCTTTTTGTTGTCAAAAGCAAGGATAATTTTTTTAAAATGATGGGATTGAAGCAGCTCTGGCAGCCATTTCTGTCCCAGCCACTTACTGCCATGGGGCTGGACTCGGAGTCACAGTAGGTGAGGAGCTCGTAGAGCGTCACCCCGAAGGACCAGACGTCGGAGGCGATGTAGAACTTGCTCTGCAGCAAACACTCCGGGGCGTACCTGGGGACACGAGGGGCCAGCATCACACCCAGAGCTCACACACAGCCAGAGCGACTCAAGAGCCACAGCTGTGCTTGTGGAGCCCTTACACATAAATTAAAAAGAAAAAAATAAAGTGTGTTCCACAGTGAAACCAAGGAGACCAAACCCAGAGTAGTGGGGAAATGGATCATTAAGTGCAGGAAGAAATAAACAACACAAGAGGTGAGTACAGTCCACCAGGTGCCTTTTCCTTGCTCTCATGGTGTATCTTAGGCCTCTTATAAAAACAGGAACAATCTTGGGGAGAAGGGGAGCAGAGGGGTCCCTGTCCTGCAGCCTGGTCCCAGGGCTGTACCAGAAGACGGGGCTGTCGCGGTCGTCCTTGACGGTGTAATATTCCTTATCCGTCTCGATGGCCTTGGTGAGCCCAAAGTCCCCGATCTTCACCCTGTTCTCACTCTCCACGAGGACATTCCTCGCTGCCAGGTCACGGTGCACGTACTGACAGGAGCCCAGGTAGTCCATGCCCTAAGGGAGGAGAAGAGAAGCCTTTTCTTTCCTCTTATTCCTCCAGTATTTAATCCCTTTTTCTCCATTTACTGTTTCACATGGCCTGACCATGCTTTGCATTCTCATCTCCATCCCTTTACACTTCACCTCGCTCCTTTCCTCAAGCCAGCACATTCCAAGTGCTGCCCTCCCTCCTGATCCTCCAAATCCTCCCACAGGAACAACTTCTCACAGCAAACTTTGGAACTTGGACCCTCCTCATTATTCCCCTGTTGATCTTTGTGCCAGTAGCACCCAAAGCATGGGAGAGATGGCTTTGGGGTTCTGATCCTTGGGGATAAAGAAGGAGAACGGGTTTGTTGCTGATGTTTTCCATCCCCTCACGCTGCTGATGGAGCAGAGGAGCTGCAGGCTCAGGGCCCGGCTCACCTTGCAGATCTGAACTGCGTATCTGAGCAGCTGCTTGAGATTAATCTTGTTCTTGTTCCGTGGGAGATACTCCTTCAGGCTCCCAGAGGGAAGGAATTCCATGATGAGTTTAATCCCACTTCCTCCTAAAAAGCAGAGCATGTTTAGTGTGCAGACCCTTTTCACTTCATGAACACCAACAGCTTTTGTACAAGCCCAGAGCACTGGCAGCGTTTTAAACATCCCATGGCTCATTGCCATCATCCATCCCTGAGCCAATCCACAGGAAAACCTGCTCCAGGCAGGACATTGATCAGTTCTAAAGGAAAACCTATACACTTTTAATATTCTGCAGGATTTACCATCTTCTGTGCAAATCCCCTTGTATTTGACAATGTTGTCGTGATAAAGATTCCTCAGGATTTCGATTTCCTGGGTGGGAGAGAAAGGAGCATCCTTGAGGACAAGGCTCAGGCAGTGACACCCAGGCACTGATTTGGGTGTTTGTGTGACACAGCACAGGCTGTGGGGACACCCAGACACTGATCTGGGTGGTTTTGGGGACACCCAGGCACTGATTTGGGTGGCTTTGGGGACACCCAGGCACTGATCTGGGTGGCTGTGGGGACACCCAGGAGCGCTGGCTGTGTTCTGGGGGTGACATTCCTCTTACCTCACCCAAATCCCGGCTTTTCAAGAACCTCTTCTCAAAGAGAGTGGGATCCACCTCGGTGACGGGTTTCTTCTCTGAGACAATATCTGGATCTAGGAGGGGAAATCATGCCAGGTCAGATTCCTGCATGCTGGGACACTCCAAGGCATCCTGGATCTGTTTCCACACCCAGATTTCTCTTGGTGAACTTCCCACCCCGTAGCAGCTCCTCAGCTTCCACGAGGTTGGAACCAGGTGCTCTTCCAGATCCCACCCCAGATTCCATGGTCCCCCCTCCAGGTGGGCCCTGGGCCTTACTCTGCTCCTCCAGTTTGTTGATGTCCCTCATGATGGCCCTGAAGAAGGGTCTCTGGTGGGGGTCGTAGTTCATGCACTGCTTCATCAGGTCTGCCAGTTCCTTGCAGGACGGCGTGGCCAGCACAAAGTGCCCCTCGTAGAACCTCTCCTTCTGCAGGAACAAACAGAAATCCCAGGAATTTTAACTTCCATGGCTCCCAGTTCTGAGCTGGGCTAATGGCTGGACTCGGGGATCCCTGAGCAATTCTACATCACAGGATGTGAGCATTAAATCCTTAATTCAGTGTGAGCTTTGCCAAGGAAATTCCCTTTTCAGCTGGAATTCAGGTCTTTACAGCAGAGAATTCCTCTTGTGCTGGATCTGGAGCCACCACTTACCACCCATGAAGTGTTTAAAAGGTGCTGGGTACTTCCACTTTCAGGAATCATTTCCTGCCAGGTTTTCCCTGTTATTTATGCAGCAGGAAACGTTTACCAAGGACACCCTGGGTGTTCCTCACAGCCCTGGGAGATCCCAGCTCCAGGCCAGGTGGGACAAGGCTGGGATGGGCATTCCCAACCCTGCAGGGCTGTGGCCACAGGCAGGAAGGGGCACCACAAGAGTGACTCCAGTTCTTTAAATTGCAGTGAACAGCAGCAGTGCCCCCTGAGACCCTCTGGAATCAATCCAAAAGAAACAATGAGATGTTTGGGAGAATCTCACTCAGCTTCTAACTGGACACAGGGGTTAGAAAAGGCTGGGAGAACTGGGATTGTCCAGTCTGGGGAGGAGAAGTTCCAGGGAGAGCTCAGAGCCCCTTGCAGGGCCTGAAGGAGCTCCAGGAGAGCTGGAGAGGGACTGGGGACAAGGCCTGCAGGGACAGGACAAGGGGGAAAACCAAAGGATGGATCCAAGTTTGTGTAACACAGTTTTACCTCTGCTAAGGTCTTGTCTTTGAGTGGAGTTTCTCCATTATAGCAGATTTCCCACAGGGTTGTACCAAAACTCCACTTATCTGCAGCAATGCTGAGGTTTATGGAGTCTTCAACACACTCAGGTGCAATCCAGGGGATCCGCTCAACGCGCTCTGGGATAGAACAGTGAATAAATATCACAGCACAGAAAAAACAGCTTTTAACTGAGTCATTCTTCTCTGAAATAAACTGGAGCTGCAAAATCTGTCCAGCAATTTCTCGATTCTCAAATTTCCTGTTTTCAGAAGGGTGTTCCTGCCACCCACAAACTGAGATTCCTTCGTCACCTCACTGGACACAACATTTTGTAAGAGAAAGGAATGCTGTGCACAGCCACTGTGTGTTTGCAGATCCATGAATGCTGGTGACTGCTATTCCCCAGCCAGTTCTGGCTGCCATCAGTGCCATTTCTCCCTTTCCCTGGGGATCCTGGACATACCTTGCCTGGACAGCACCGTGATGGGGATTCCTGGGTCACTCAGCTTTATGAAAGGCCCATATTCGCTATCAATGCCCTCCCTGGCCAGCAGGATGTTCTTGGTGCACACATTGCCGTGCACCAAATCCTTGTCCTCCTGCAGAAAAACAGGGAAAGAACAGTGAGAGGGATGTGAGTGCTCCAGCATTTCCACACTGCAAGGGATCCCTAAAATATTCCAAGCTGAAATGCATAATTACACCTGGAGGGGAAGGAGGGAAACAGAGTTTTCCCATGTGGGGAATGCATTCCCAACTAACCCCAGTGCCTTTGCCAAGGTCTCTTACCAGGTAGCTCAGGGCACTTGCAAGTTGTTTGGCCACTTTGAATTTCCATGGGGTTGTGAGAAGTTCACTTTTCTTGTGCATGAACAGATCCAGAGGCCCACACTCAACAAACTCCTCCACCATGATATCTGCAAAGGCAGAAAGTCAGCGCTGCAAATCCGAGTCCTTTCATTTCTGTTCCCACCTCCCAGCCCAAATGCCTGGGAAATGTTTTTATTTCACCTTGCCTGAGGTTTCTTTCAGTGCTCAGATTAAAAAGTTGAGGGGATTCATGAACATTAAACCTGGAACCAGGCATTCCAAATTGTAATGCACATAGCAGAAAAATAAACATAAAAATAAACAATAAAGCATGGCCAGGTTTAACATCCACAAATAAATTCCTGTCCTGAGTCTGGAAGAGCGAAGGCTGGAGCACTGATCAATTTGGCTTTTTATTTTCTAATTATTTTTAAATAAAAATAAAAAAATAAATTTTTAAAATATTTTCTAAATATTTATTTATTTCTAAATATTTTTTATTTTCTAAATAAATAATAAATATTTTCCTTCTGGCATCCACAGCACAACATTAGGACTGTCTTGGGTTAAAAAGTCATTTTAAGGTGTACTGTATATATTTACAGTTTTTATGTGCATAGGTGTATTTTATATGTATAAACATAAAAATCTGTACATAGAAATGTGTACATGCTTTATGTGCATAAATATTACAAACCTACATTTAATTTATACAAAGGAATGTATATTTGTAATAAATGTAATTAATATTACATAAATATTACAAACATTTCTTTTATATAAATGAATGTATATTTGGAATAAATGTAATACATTTAATATTACATAAATATTACAAATATACATTTCTTTTATACAAATGAATATGTTTGTAAAAAATAATAAATACAAAATAATAAATTTAATATTACATAAATATTACAAACATACATTTATTATATACAAATGAATGTATATTTGTAATAAATTTAATATTACATAAATATTGCAAGCACATTAATTTTATACAAAGGAATTTATATTTGTAATAAACTGAATAAATTTAATGCTGTAAATTTAATATTACATCAATATTACAAATATACACTTCTTTTATAAAAATGAATATATTTGTAATAAATGGAATAAATTTAATATTACATAAGTATTACAAACATACATTTCTTTTATAGAAATGAATGTATATTTGTAATAAATGGAATCAATTTCACCCCTGCCACAGGGCACTTTGTACTCACACTGCCCTTGGTGCATTCCAGGGGGGAACCACCCTGGAAGGCTCAAACACAGCATTGGAATGGGAAATTTCTTGGGATAAAAGCATTTAGAGCTCAAACACAGCGTTGGGAAGAGGAATTTCTTGGGAGAAAAGCGTTTAGAGCTCAAACACAACACTGGAATGGGAAATTTCTTGGGAGAAAAGCCTTTGGAGCTTAAAAGCAGCATTGGAAAGGGAAATTTGTTGGGATAAAAGCATTTAGAGCTGAAACACAGCATTGGAATGGGAAATTTCTTGGGATAAAAGCATTTAGAGCTGAAACACAGCGTTGGAACAGGAAATTTGTTGGCAGGAAGGCTTTGGAGGTGCTTTGCTGTCCCAAATGTTGGCCATTTGTGGCTGGCAGCCCCATGGTGTCCCCAGCTCCCTCCCCAGACTCACTCTCCACGTCGCGGACGCAGACGCCGTGCAGGAGCACCATGTGCTTGTGGGACACCTGTCTCATCATGCTGGCTGTCTCAAAGAATGCCTGCCAAGGGGAGAGAAATCCACATTCCCTCAGCTCAGAACACAAACAGCAGCACAAAAACCCCCCTGGGTTTAGGCACATCGAGGGTCAGCAGGGGAGGGATGAGCAAACCTTCAGCATTTCCCCATTCCCAACCCTTTTTTAAAAATTATCCATCTACAAGACACAAAAAGGAAAAGAAACTTGCCAAGGAGATGTCTCTGTGGCTGGGGTCCAGGACTTTGAGCAGGACTCGGATCTCTTTCTCATTCTGATAGCCTTCGTTCTCGTCATCCTTGAGGCTGAGCATCCCTGAGTAAATCTGGGTTCTGGTCCCTCTTCCCAGGTGTTCTCCCTGAGACCCAGCAGCAGGGATTTGTCAGGCAGGAAGCAAACAAGAGTTACACAATTTTTTATTGGAATCTGTGCTTTTTACTGTCTCTGGCTGATCTGGATACAAATTCAAATTATTCCCAATTACAGAGTGAGCTGTGAGCATCCTCCCCACGTGAATTCCTCGGATGTGACACCTCCACATCATCCAACAGGTTCCCTGGGATTGAACATTCCCAGACTAAACAAATGAATAAACAACAGCTGGGGCTCTTATTCACAACCTGCTACTGAGGTGATCTTTAATGTGTTTCCAAAAGTGAGAGGAAGTAATATTTCACTGGAAGGCTTTGTTTGGGGAAGTAATTTCCTCCAAAATAACATCCTGCCTTGGGATATTTTTGCAGGATGCTGCCTGTAAATACACCAACCCAAACCAAACCTCTGTGTGTGATGCAGCTAAAAACCCCCAATACCTTTTGATTTCACAGAAGAAGCCAAGTGAACGATTTAAGAGCTCTTTGAGCAATATTAAATCTGATTTAAGTGTATTCAAGCCCCTGTGTGGTTGTTGAGGTTTATTCAGGTGACCTGAATAAGTCACCTGAATAAACTATAAACTATATACTATATATAATCAACTATAAGCATAGGGAAATCTGAAAATTTGGGCAGGTTGAAACACAGAATTCTGACTGCTCAGAGCTTTTGAATAGTTCACCTTTTTTTAGAAATTTAGAAATTTTGTAGAATATTGCCTTAAACCTCTGTTTCTCTGTTGAGTCAGGCTTTAAAAAAATAACACCCACAACAAAGCAGCTCTCAAAACTCCCAAGAAATGACCTTAAAACCCTTTTTTTCCATGAGAAAACTTCAATACCAAATTAATTTCCAGCCCAAGGCATTCCACCCCGGGCTCCTGGGGCTGCCCAGCACCCACCTGCACGATCTCCTCCTTGCGGATGCGGTGGAAGCTCAGCTGTCCCATGGGATACACCGGCTGCCACTCCTGAGCCTTCTTGGTTGCCACCAGCAAGTTGGAGATTTCTGCAAGGCAGAGGGGAGAAAATAAAGTTTTACAAAGGAAAAACTTCCTTTCCTTCCAAGGATGGAAATGCATTCGAATCCCCTGAAAAAGGAGAGGAAAAAAGAAACTTGGATTTGGTTTCTGCTCTTTGTTCAACAGAGAGATCATTAAAGCACAGTTTCATGTTTGTATTTTCAATACTGAATTGTTGTCAGCCACATCAGGTGATACTGAGCAACTGAACAGAGTTTTCTGCATGAAGATTGAAAGAGGAAATACCTGCGCTGTACATGGAATAAAATGGAATAAAATATCCCCCATGGCCTCCTGCCAGCAGGGCCATCTCCTTTCCAGTGTGCAAGGGGGAGTCTCATCTCCTCTTCACCTCCTTCCTAATTCCCTGTGCTCTGGGAAGCACCAGCTGCTGAGAGCAGAACCTGGTGCTGGGGCTAAATCATCATCTGCAGCTCTGGAATCACCAGCAATAACCACACCCTGCCAAACTGCTTTAGCCCTGCATCCCCTGAGCTTCTTTGTGAATATCTGATTAAATATTCAAACAGAAGGAACAAACCCACCAGGGGAAGAGACAGAACAGGGAACACACACTGAATCCTGCTGGAACTAAAGCCAGGGACAAGCTGAAGTGGGCAATCAACTCCCTGACCCTTTTGATTTTATTTTATCCCAAATCCAGCCATTAAAAAGAAACCAAAATGTCAAATGTGCGATGTCCCCCTGCTCCAGAGCGTGAGCCACGTGCTTTGTGCAGAGTGGGAGAAGCTCAGGGACTGTCCCAAAGCCTCAGAGCAGCAGGTGATGGATGTGGCTCAGTTATTCCCCTGCTTCTAACAGGAAACCATTATCAGCTCAGCACAATCAGCCCACTGTGCTTCCTCTCTCACACCAAATTCAGCTGTGAGACAGAGTTCATAGCAAACAGCTCCAGGGAGCGCTGCCATCACCCAACAACCGCCCCATTGTCCCTCAGATGGGACCTCACAGATGATCTCCTGCCACCAGGCTCCTCAGGACATCCCTTGGGACCAGAACCCTTCCCTGCAGCCTCGTGCACATGAGCTCCTCAGCAGCAGCTCACAGTGACAGCAAACACAGCAGGTTCCTCTTCCCCCCTCCTCAGCCCTGCCTACCTGTTCTGTTTCCTCCCCAGAGAAGGAAAAAAACTTCAAACCTCTTGTTTTTTTAAAGAGCTTCACACCAGGACACAGCAAAAATACACTAAAAAAGCCTCCTGGTGTCTGGAATTTGTTCCCTTGCAACAACAAAACCCTGCAAGGCCAAAGCTACCTCTGGGTCTGGGCTGGCAGCACCTCTTGAGGGTGAAGCTGATGTTGTCTGTGCGGAGGATTTGTCCCTTCAGGTGATCCATGAGGTCTTTCAAGGATGCAAAGGATTTGTTGGAGCCATGGAGGAAGTACCCCCCTTTCTTCACCTCGATCTGGAAGTTCTTGTAGGGGCCTGAGTTATTCATCACCTGGTGTTGGAGGGACAGGGAGAAAAAGAAAGCAAATTGGGTCACTGGAGTGAAAGAATTGTTTGTGAAGCCACCAAAGCTTCCCAAAATCTTGGCACTGCACGTGGAACCAGCTCAGGCCCTGTTCCTAAGTCAAGGTCCTTTAATCAAACTGCAACAAAGCAGAAAAAACCCTAAAATTCCTGGAATTTTCACTCCCTGGAAGGCTCAAAGAGAAGAGCAGCATAATAAAGATCAATCACCCAGCAAGCCCAAATTATGTTTGGTTGGGTTTTTTTGCAGAGTTTGAGATTTAAGCAGTTTTGCCTTTCTGGAGGAATTTTCTTTCTTTGGTCAAGAATTGCAGAATCTGGAGCAATCAGGCTTTCAAAATCTCAACTTAAAAATAGCAAAGCTCCCTTCCCCACCCCAGAGTGTTCCACGAGATTTCAGGCTGGTGTTGAGATCTTCCAGCTCCACTCAGAGGTGCTGGGCAAGGGCTGAACTTCTGAACTTCCCCATCTCCACAGCTCTCAGGGTCTCCCCTCTGCAGCTTTGGGTCACTTCTCCCTTCCCTCTTTTCCAAGGCAAAATTCCTTTCTTGTTTCACTGTTAGAGAGGTTTTTTTTTTTTAAAAAAAAAAAATCTACAGGAGATAAACCCAGTATCAAATATCCCTTCCTGACTCACCACTGATTCCATGGCTGGTTTTCCTAAGAGGAGGATTTATGTTATCATTGTTTATTATTTCTTATTTATTGTTTATTAGTGTGTGAACACTTTAAATATTCCTCCAAACCACCAAGTCAGCTGCAGGCTTCCAGCTGAGGCTGCTGGGGGAATAAAATCTATCAAGGGAATTAAATCCATTCCCAAAAAGGCCCCAGGGAAGCTGAACCGTGCTCAAGGCAAGGTGAAGTGACAAATTCTCTGTGTCCTGAGTTTAAAGTGCTTCATGTTTCTCATGTCCCTGCACAGTTTGACTGGGAGGACTGGAGCTGTTCTGGATCTAATTAATCCTATTTGGAGCACAAAGGACTGGAAAAAAATCCCAATTCCCTGCTCAGAGATCAGGCTGAGTGCCCTAAGGATAAAAACACATCCCCAGGGATTCCAGGGAGCAGATTCCTGCTGGGAATGCCCAGCTGGCTGTACCTCTGAGCCTTCCAAGCACGTCACAGTCATGAGGATGTGGTTGAAGTTGGTGCAGCTCCACCTCAGCACGTACATCCCCACCTCGTTCCCCTCCTGCCTCAGCTTGTTGATGGCATATTCCGTGCTGGAAGGGAACAGACAGTGAGCAAAACCAACAAGGGAACATCCAAAAATCTATCTTTTGGGATGGGACATGAGAGCAAACTTCTATTTGGGGGTGTAACAGCAGCTTAGAAATATTTCTGTTATTAAAATAGGATTTAAAGGTGCCTTGCTGACATTGGGCTGCACAGAGCAAGGGAGGAAGGATTTATTAAAGAGAATTCTGCATCCAGCACCGTGCAAGTGAACTCCTGGATCACAGTTTGCAGCTTAAACATAAAGGGAAAAGCCACAAAGGTGAAAGGAGGGAAGAGAATTCCTTGAGGTGTTTAAAAAGCCAAGGTTTTGTTCATCCATCCAAGGAGTCCTGGGGCGAGTGTGGAGACACTTCCACTCTCTACCTAAAATATTCCCATGTGTCCATGGAGGAAACTCTTGGGACACCCCTTGAGTGCAGAAACACTGAATTTACAGATGAGTAGAGAGAGAAACACTGATTCTTTTCCCTTTAACGAAATGAACTTTTCGGGACAACCACCGCCCACCCAAACCCCGCGGATTCACGACAAAGAGGGAATCACCAAAAACCAAAAAAACCCCTCCAAAAAGCATTGAAGAAAAGAATTTTCTGACCAGATGGGCCCGTGGCAGCCGTTTTTGATGTTGTGCTGGATGAGGGGAGGAGCCACATCCGTGCACAGGTAGTGGTGGGCGTCCGCCGTGAGCCTGAAGTAGCCATCGACCAGCGAGGTGAAGGACAGCGCCTCGGCGTGCGAGCCCAGCTTCAACTCCTGCCACCAAACACAGGCCAGACTCAGAACACCAGGAATGCTGCAAAATCCCTGGAATGTTGCTATGAATGAGCCAGGAAGAAGTTCTGGCTGCAGGGTGTTGGGATTTAGCGGCCGCTCGGTTCTCTGC